CTCTCCTGCATCCATGATCAGTCTATTCCCTTTTGCCTGTGCAAGAGGACAGAGGAGTGGAAGAACTTGTCTGACTCAAGTGTGAAGGGAATAAAACTAGGACTTTGGGGAGGATGTGAAGAGCAGAGCCGGATGAGGTCAGGTGACCATCAGCATTTCATGTGGTGAATCAAATTATGCCTACTTAGCCAATACAGAAGCATTAGTGCTGCTCCATATAGTCTATTCCCTTTTGCCTGTGCAAGAGGACAGAGGAGTGGAAGAACTTGTCTGACTCAAGTGTGAAGGGAATAAAACTAGGACTTTGGGGAGGATGTGAAGAGCAGAGCCGGATGAGGTCAGGTGACCATCAGCATTTCATGTGGTGAATCAAATTATGCCTACTTAGCCAATACAGAAGCATTAGTGCTGCTCCATATGATGATTTTTTCTTCCTGTAGCTTTTTTGAAGATACTGTCTACACTCTCAGATGCAAATTCCCCCCTGAAATAAACATATTAAGACTGCAAAGTGAAGCACCTCCCCAGTTAGAACACATGCTCCCCCTCAGATCTGGAAGCCTCAGTTGTCACCTGCATACAGGACACTGTCTGTGCATACATCTCCCGAGACACTGCAGCTGCACCAGTTCCTTTTTTCCTGTTACAGCTCTGGTTCACTCAGAGCACAGGATGGATGTGCTCACTTACCAAGCAGCATTTAATATTTTGTTTCACTCTACAGGTGCATGAACTCAGGCCTTACTTTTTGCATACTATTCAATTACTACAAGCAGAGTTTTCCCAAAGGCTTTCCAGGGAAACTCCTCATAGACACTGCTTTATTTTCACAACACTCTGGAGAGATGAGATGACAACATGGTACACATCCCATCGATACGAAAAGAAAACACAGGCCAATAACGTGTGCTCCTACTGGATGCTTGATTTGACATCCTCAGGATCTGAATTTAAGAGTATTTAACAACACACAGCACTTCTTATGTTCAAAGAACAAGACTCAAAGTGCTGCGGTCTGCCTTTAGAAATTATCGCAGCCTCTGACATCCTCAAATAGTGCCCATCCCTGTTCAGGACTACAGAATCCTTAAGAGCTCACGCTCCTAAGTCAGTGGATATGAACATGGGCCTCAGAGATGATCACAGAAATGTCAGATCCAACTAACTTACCACGTATGAACTCCATGGCTGAGCAGTGGAAAGCCTGAATTCCAAGAGCAATGTTCAGCTACCTTAAATGCAATACTTCTTTTCTCCTATAATACGTGGCCTAAATTGCTATATGTTCTCAGTTTCCGCAGTTATGAGCTAGAGAGCTTACACTGATCTCCCTCTCTATACAACACTAAATATTTTCTAAGGTAGGATCCATCCTATTTAGTCAATAAAGAAAAGGCGCTATGCAGGCAAATATTACAAGAATAACAAAGATTTTGCAATGCATATGGAAAGAGGGATAATTCAAAATCATACAGCCATCCAAATTCCACCATTGAGTAAATTACAGTAGTAGTGTCTTTCAACATTAATGGTTATACTTCACACTAAGATAGACATAAAACAACTCCTCACCAATGATTCACATTTTAGGAAACAGTTCTGCAAAGCTGCGTTTGAAATTGAAGTTGTATAATAGTCCCACATTTCCCCAGGTGCAGTGTTTCATCTAAATGGTTCTCATCATTCATAACTCTTCTTGATTTAAAACACTGTGCACTACAGAACCCACACTTTTATATTCACTCATTCGTAGGACAAGCTGTTTACAACCAAAGTGATTTTATTTTTTCAGTTCTTATAGCAGACCCCCAAACATGTCCTCTCACCTCATAACCTCTTAAGCTTCCTCTTAAAAAGATCCTAGCCAAAGTGATTTTCTTTTTTCATTTTCTTTTTTTCTTAAGCTTCCTCTTAAAAAGATCCTAGGAGGCATCCTTTCTTCTTTTAAAATACTGCTACATGTCCTTACATAGCCTTTCCTGACTATCCTTCCCTGGTTCTATTCTACTCCTCTTAACTTCCCTTCAAAAATCTTCTTCCACTTGTCCTTTGAAGGACTCTCAACATCCACTTCAGCTTTCTAATTGGTTTTGCTGCTTTTTTTCTTCTCTCTTGCTTGTTACATAATCTCATCTGTAAAGACTAATTCATTTGCCATTATTTCGCACTAATTTATTAGTCAATATTGCCCTGTTTCTTCAGCCTCTCTTTTCAGATGACTATCCGTCATCTTCAAAAAATCCTAATTCCCGATTCCAAACAGCTCTTCCTTTATACCCTTTTTCAATCTTTTCCATGTTTTCCCCTTAGACACGGGTTTTCATCTCCACTCAGTTAAATGCATGTTGTCTTATTCGTTAGTACAGACACATTTTTTTCCTTCTGTCCCTAGAAAAGTATGTTTATGTCTAAGTACTACTGCAAATAGTCAATTAACCAAAGTGCTTGGCTTTTACCAAGGCAAAGAATATTATGGAGCCTTTCAAAAGAATACACAAGGACTTCTAATAGAATACATGCATATCCCTGTTTTTAAGGAAACACACAGCTCCCTCAGGTTCTGAAATGGAAACACATTAGAGAAACAATCAAATCTGAAGGCTAAATTCCATTTTGAAAAGTTATTTAAGAGTAATTGTTGGTACATGAGTCTCTGTCCATTGATAACATCACCTACTAATAGCAAAATTTTGGCATCAGTACATAGAAGATGCTTTCCAATTACAGTTAACTTACCTGAATGGCAATAAATATGATTACGTTCATGCTATGACTTGATAGTCCTAATGGAAAAGCTTAAAAGGGTGTACTACACCCTTTGAGGTATATTACACTGTTCTATAAACACTGTTCTATTATTAGTCAAAAGACAAATAGGACAAAAATAGTAAATATAATCCCAGGAATTGTGATTTGTTACTGCAGGATCAGTAACAGTTCAGTAAGCAGTTGTTCATATCATATTCTCTGCCATAATTGAAACTTTTTGCAAATACAGCACTGATAACTCTAAAACATCCATTATCAATTGCTATGGTCTTATTTGGAGGCATACAAGTGACAGAAACCATGGCTTGAGAAGAAAACAGCAACAATTCTGATCTGAAGATGGAGCAGTAACAAAACATTATGTATGTATCTAGTGAATCCATGTTGAAGATCTCTAAAGGGCTGACATTCCAAGTCTCCACAGCCTCGTGGTCCACATGTCAGGCTCCCGGATACCCCGACAATACACAACGGTGGTCGTGTTTGTAGCACAAGCACTAACAACAGCTCCAGCAATACTTACGATGGTGCAATGTCCAGATGGTTGATGCCGTAGCCAGATGTACAAAATCCTCCTAGTGTTGTTGATACGGTCACGAAGGCAACAGCCAGCTCATAGTTACAGCCTATGAATCCAGCTGCTACTAAGAAGACAGCAGGTCCAATCATCCCTTCAAAGCAAAAATCTTAGAATCAAGGGACTCTTAATAGCTAGAGAGGCATTAACAGGCTCTAAGCTACATATACATTTTCTATACAGCTTCCACTGCCACCTTGTGAACAAACTCCAGCAGTGTGCTCTGCACATTAAAGACAGCGTAGGGAGAGATGGTTTGCAAGCAAGCAGGTTGCTGCCTCTAGAGGGAGTCGGGGCTGCACATGCTGGCATGGCTTAAAAGCCATGCTGGTTGCTAAACTCAAGCTTCAGCTGAATAAAAGACCACCAGAATTCAAGTGATACTGAAAGTGACTTCAAAAGCTAATTTAATGTTAATAAAAAAAACAAACAAACAACCACCTCCCCACACACAACCCTCCCAATAACTTACTGGAGCTGTGCTGACACCAGCAGGTGAGCACTGTACTGTGAATACATTACCCTTGTTTAACTTTCCAGTTCTGCAGTTTCTTCACTAACACCACCTAGAATTAACTTAACTTCTTGCTTAAAATTTTAGCATCTCATACAGTTACACTACAGCCTACAGCACAGGGTAGACACCTCAAGTTTACCTTGGAGACACTACTTCAGGTGCTGGGAACAGTGGCTATCATGAGCTGTTGCTGCTACTTTTCTGAGGTTAACTCTGGTGCCCATTTCCCACATGAGAACTGGCCAAGTGCAGACACACATCACGATCTCTGAAAACAACTCCTAAAAGATGTTTCTTTGCTGATGACGTCAACCCAAAAGCTTCCTGCATTTCATTACGCCAGTGCCCTGCGTGCAAAGGCCCTGCAGCCAACAGGATCCCCAGCGTGGCGGATCCCCAGTTTGCTAGCTAGTTTCAGAGCAGTTAATTGAACCAGCACGTAACCAGGTACACGCAGGTAGCAGCAGCCACCCAGCAGGCTGCACCCCATGTGGACTCATATTTAATGCAGGTCCACTAATTGCCAATTTAACTGCTGATTCACATCACCCAGGTCCTGCCCTGAAGCACTGTTGCCTAATGCCTCCCCTTTTTATTTATTTATTTTTTTAATAGCAGTCAACTTCAGCTTCCTATACACACCCTTTGGACAGCCCACCCTGACTTCAAACCACCTCCCCTGCCAGGTAGTCCGGATGGTTTGGGGTGGTATTTGGCCTGTCTATCCCAGTGGTGGCTGAAAACTTTTTATTCCTCTTCAATTATCCAAGTCTTAAATAGAAAGACATTGAAATCCTGGGCAGGGGACAGATTCATGCCCAATAATATGTCCCTGTGACCTGGGAAAGACATTCACAATATATTATTCTTTTAAGCAATTATTATAATTTTAAAGGTAATTTTACCTATTCCATTAGTTTGTTTATAAACAGGTCAAAACCTTCACTACAGTCAAAATACAGCAGCCTATGTTCTTTTATCCAGACAGTCTACTTATTAAGGTTTCTTATCCTAGAATTGTTTTTTTAAGCATTCTAAAAAAAAGAAACACAACATTTATGTTGCTCTTTTTCTGCTTACCCTCACAAGATAACTAAAAACTTCAGAGACTGCAAGCTGTATTAGGAGTGGTGTTTATCACTGTCCTGCCCACTTAATACACATAATTTAGGTAAATTTTTAATTGTTCTTTCCTTATGGTAGCCTTCAGCTCTCTAATATTGTCAAGTAGCTGTCACAATTGATCTTTCTTCTAAAAACTGAACACAGGAAGGCACCGAATATTCTTCCTCTGTATACTGTTCATAATTCTCTGAGTTAAGTGAAACACAAGGCATTTAGGAACTAGCAGCAAAAATGGTAGCTGACAGTTGGGCAGAAGAAAAAGCACCAACAATACACACTGAAATAGAGTATTTTCAGCTCAGGCAGCCCGACAAGTACCATCCAGGCTTAACACACTTGGATTCAGAGAACTAACAGAAGATTATATGATGCCACATGTCCAGTACGATGCATACATTTTAGTTTCACTTCCATATCCCGGTATAATTAATACTACTGAAGAGCAGTTTCTCTCAAGCCATGCATAACTCTGCAGAATTTCACGGTGGGCTGTCACACTACCCTCCCAATGTCTTAATTTTTCCCAGACTGGCCCAGGGTATGTTCCAAACCAAGAAGATACTTGCACCTACCTATTAGGGTAAAAGATTTGCGAACAAACACAGTTGACAAGTTCTGTTTCTCCCGTAAGTGATCAGCAATTTGTCCTGACAGAATTATACATAACCAGCAGCCAAAATAAGGTAGGGCAGATAAAAAACCATTCTGTTAACAAGGGAAAAGAAAAAGGAAAAAAAAAGGATAGTTAAAACACCGAACCAACATTTTAATGTGTTGCAAAATCATTTGTGCTGAAGCATTAAGACAAATTGAACCAAAGGTGTCACAATCATACACCGAACTATTGTTGGTTTTATCATAAAATAAACCTGGGCCTAGAAAAGGCAAAACAGTCTAAAGTTTTGGGTAAAGGTGGGTAAACTCTTTATTGTGTGACTCGACCACCAGTGCAGCAAGTCTGAAAAAAATGGTCACAGGTACAAATCTGCAACTGGATTTGGAAAGAGAAAAAATATATACAAAGATACTTCATGTCCATTAACTTGATCATATGAGCTTCCAGATCAGCCATTTCAAATCCTGCAGGTTTTCAAGCAAATTAATGTAAGTGGAAGATGTTCATAATGCCCAAAATTGAAAGCTGGCTATAATCAGAGGCAACACAGAAGAACTTTTATCATGCCCAGTCTGATTATTTTATGATTCCAAAATAAAGCTATTATTCATGACCTGCCATTATGTATACTGATGTCACCTTCTGTCTCCAATTACATTTAACTGATTAGTGGCTCCTGTCTCATTGTGATAAGAAACAAGAAGCTCTTGGTGCATAAATTTTCAGCCTTTCCACTTGATTATGGCTAACTAGCTTTTGTTAAAAAGATATCCGGATGGATATTGAATGAAAGTGTTTTAATATTTACATACTACCATATCCTATTATAAAATGTGGCTTTATATATTACCATATACTACTGTAAAATGTGGCTTCATAAAGGAAGAGAGAGTTTCTCTATAACATTTGAAACGAGAGCACAAAAACACACCCAAAACTGTATCAGCATCCACTCTGCCAGCAAAGATGCTGCCTGTTGGGTTTGAATGCTCAATTTTAAAAAATAGTAAGTAAAACTTTGAAACAGAAGTACTCTCAGTACTAAAAATCTTTTTTTTTCCACCCCTGAAGCACTGTTCAAAGATGCAGTAGCATTTTTAACTGTAGACCCTACATAAGCAGAAACTGGCAGACTATGCAACTGTTACTGCTGAACATTTTAAAATACTAACGCAATTCCCAACTAAATGTGTGGCAACCAAACTAACAAACACTATTTTGCAAGTGTTTTTCTTAAAGTATCGCAATAGTTAATACTTTGGAATCACTCCAGAAAGAAATACAAGCGCAGGACATAGGAAACTGCTCCACAGCGAAACTTGTTGGCATTTAATGTATTAGTGTTTTACAAAACAAATGCATCTAGGGCTCTGGTAGCAAAAGCTTTTATAGATGTTTACTCAGGTATTCCCTTTGGGAGCCATAGCAACTGAACCTGAACAGCAACTTCTTTCATCTAGTTTCATCCAGCCACTTTGCAGTACTTCCCACTCTTCTGGCACTCTAAGTACCTCCTTTTCCTCCCAAAACAGCTGGCACCATCTCTTTCTTGCAAGATGTACCTCAACAGTTTACTCTAAACCAAATTCATGTGTTACAGTGGAAGGAGACTATGCTATACATCTTCAAAGCTCTGTGTGTACACCTCTTAATTAACCGATACCAGCTCCTCCAGGTAAACTATGCTTTCACAGTCAAGTAATTAACAGTGAGTATTCCCTCCTTATAACTGTTCCATTATTTTTGCCGTGATAAAAAAAGTGTTTTGTTTTTTTTTTTTTTTAATTGGGGGAGAATTTTTTAAAATGAATTTTTTAAATCCCCCCCCGGCCCCCCCAAAAAAACAAACAAAACAAAAAACCACACCCAACACTATGGACTGCAGGTTTGGTTTAGTCCTTTCTCCAGAGGAAAATATTTTTCCAGTTATTGTTTTAGATTATAGCAATTAATCACACATGCATGTTCAACAACTGGCTGGAAAGCTAGTGTTAAAGCTGATAAAGTCAATACAAATATCAAACCCTGAAGCCCCACGGAAATTACAATACGGACAACACTGAAAAGTTATCTTTTTTGTTGTATTTACTATTTCCTAGCTACACAGTTACTTTCCAAGAGTATTAAATAAGAACTATTTAGAACAGAGGAACTTATTTATCTCACCTCTTGTGCATCAAACCTTAGGATCTCCTTCATGTACGTGGGCAAGAGTGTAAGAAGAGTATAGAAAGTCCAGTTATAAGAAAAGTGTGCCACGACAATAGCCCAGAGAGGCAGGGACTCCAGTATCCGTCTCCAGGGGACAGATTTCTGTGTTGAAAGCTGGCACATGGGAGGCAGAGAGAAGATGAGACAACATTTAACTGGGGTGATTTGAACAACAATCCAAAGAAACAGTGACTATTCATTCTGAAGGCACAAAATATAGTCTACGTAACAGATGAAGTCATCAACAATGAGAGAACTACTGTAGTCATTTTTCATTGAAGGTATCTTAAGGTATGTGGCTCTGTTTACTATTTAGTCTGTTTACTATTGCAAGTCAACCAATTTAATAAGCAGTTTTAAAAGTATGCCTTTCCTTGTTGAGATTTGTTACCTCTTGTTTATTCTATCAACAACTAAATATTAAAGCCACGCCTCATGTTTACCAAGTTGAATTTTTGAAATCCAATCTCATGTATTAACTTTGATCTCTCAACCAACTTCACAGGTTGGGAATGCATATCTGCAAACACAGGAATAAGAATAAGCCCTTATGCATGCCCTAGGAATTCTCAGGAGGGTTCCCAAACTGCTTCCTCTGCTAACAGCAATCTCTCCCTCTTTTCACTCTGGACAATAAATGCATACAAAAGAGGAGTAAAACATTCCATTACAAACTCAAAGAGATAATACAAGTCTGTTATTTTAGTTGAAGGATTTTAAAATTTTAACTTAATCCTTTAAATGAAGGATATTTTTATAGCATTGTGCTAGAAATTACTGAGAATTATGCTGACTCCCATATTTACAGTTTCTGTTCTTACTTAAATGACTATACAAAAATGCTATACCTGATCTTTTAGAGAAGAAAGTATATAGTCTCTTTCAGCATGAGAAATGCTCCAGTGAGTTTCTGGTGTATCACTAACAAACCACATCCAGAAGAAGAACCATAATACACCAAGTGCACCTATTATTGGGAAAAGATGGATGAAAAAGCAGAAATAAAAATAGAAGCAATTATATTAACTGAATAGCACTCCCAGATGATTTAGTGAGAGAAAATGTTCATTAAAATTATATTAGAGTATATGGAGAAAAAAAATCTTCTTAAAAACAGTCGTTCCCAGAAGCAGCTTAAGTACATACACTTAGAAGCAATAAACAATAAAGCAGACTAAGTAGGAAGTTGAGGTTTTTTTTTGTGGCCTTGTTTTTTAAGAAATGCCTCACACAGCAAAAAAAAATGCATACATGCACACATTGTATTTTTATCAGTCACATGGAACCACCACAGAGGATATATCTCTTAGAAAGAATAAAAACTCACATTAAAACTTAATTATAAAAAATACACAAGTATCATACACACAAAACAGTGCTACAGAAAGCTTTACTGATAACACTAGCCTTCCTTTTTAAGCTGAACCCCAGAAGTATTTTTCAATAATTTGTGCAAATCAAGTATACTTATTATATAATATTACAACTTATTTTGTTTCCTCTAATTCTCCATTTTGAGCCTTTTTAGTTAAGCAAAAATTAGAGAGGCTTTGTTGAGGAAAATATAATCCCTTCTATTCTGATTTTTTTCCTTCCCATCCAGAACATGAAATAGCTCAGACATGCACACAGACCTATTAAAAGCTCCACTTAGATCCATGACATTCTATTAGAAAATATTTTCTGTTTGAGCCTCTTACGGAACAGCATTACAACAGCAGTGACTTTTTAGATGTCCTTTCATTCTTAGTAGAAGTCTGTTCCTAGGATTAAAGTTATTAACTCAATTTCACACTTCAAATGAGAACTTACAGTCTGTTATTTCCCCGTGGTGGGAGAGCTGAGAACTGTTGCTTTGGACCAGCTTTTGTTCAACTGAGAGACAGCTTTGCTCATTGGAAGCATAGTTAACATAGCTTTAAATAACTAACTTCCCAGGAGAAAAATTAGCACTGCGACATTTCAAACACGTCTTTAAATCTTATTTCAAGTTTCATGCAAGAGGTACTAATACAACATATCATGACTTCTGAAAAGTGTAAGAATTGCATTCTTAAGAAAACACTTACCAAATATGTAAAACACATAAATCCAATTCATATAGTAGCAAATTAAACCAGATAGTGGCAGAGACACAACAGTTCCCAGCTGTGCACCTACCGGGAGGAGAAAATAAATAAATAAATGATCTATATATCCTTTAAACTCAGTGGCATGTCACAGTTATTTTATTTTTGTTTAAGAAATCATGCAGAAAATACTTTTCATTACCAGTAGAGGGCTGCCATTTCATCTTCAACACAAGCACAAAAAGCCGCTTTGGCAACTACAAAAACATGGACTCAAAGCCCTGAGGTGAATTATACACACATGTACATAATCACAAGCAAAAAGCAATGACTGTGGGCAAAGAATGTAAAGCAGTTCTTGGCACATAACAAGTTTCCAATAAAGTGATGGACCTAAAGATGATATGGAATGGGAAATACATTCAAAACAATGCTAGGTAGTGAACTGATACTGTTAGAAAACAAAGGACTGATCGAAGTACAGTTAAGGATTTGTTTTTCCCTGGTAAACATTTCCCAACTTGATATATTCAGTATTCATGGCTCATAACTCCTGCTAGCTCCACAGGAGCAGAAGGGCTTAATACCAAGGCCAGAGGACACCCAAGTAATCAGGCGCTTCTAAATGTGCTGGCCTTAACACCTGATCCTGAGTAGGATCAGATCAGGAGGAGGGGAAAGATCAGCAGATGGCAGCTCAGCTGCAAGTCACAAGACAAAAATGAAGTTACAGAGTTTATAATTCAAGATACATTTTGAACAGGATGTTGTTCACTTTTCCTTCCTCTAATCTATACTAGAAGCCTAAACCACATTATTTATGTACCTAGGAACTCTCAGGTGGTGTTAAACAGCAGGCCTTATCTCACTGATCACAAGTCAGAAAACAGTGGATTGTCTCAATATACTGACTGCCAAGGCTTAGATGCCATCTTGAGAAGATTGTTTTTCTTTGGGGCAGAAAGCTTCAAACACAAACAACAAACCACATGTCATATAAAATGCAAGTCAGTGGAGGCCTGCTTCAAGGACGGTGACACGGGACATCTTGTTGACAGCAGTACAGAATGTCTTGTTAGTAGATAACACACCTGCAATGCTGTCCTTGGGGTTGGCTATCAGCAAAACAAGAGGCAAAAACAACTACTCTGTCTGCTACATGACCGGATTGGGTAGTTTTAATATGAGCCTTTAGATTCTTGGCTTATTAGTAACTGTGTTTTGCATGCTTTTAGACAAATAAGGTACGGTATCCAGTATAGTACACTACATAAGTCTCATCTCATGCTCAATAAAATGTCTTCACTGCATTACACTGCAGTCCATTCCTTTGCAAGTTGCGACACAAGTCAAAATAATAACTTCATGCAACTGCACTCACATGTTCTCAAAAAAAAGCCATTAATCACATGTCTGCAAATAGGAAAATGGGGGAGAAGGGAGTGCACTGCCAGGCAAGTTAGTGTGGCCCATGGAAAGGTGTGTTGAATGTAGCAGTAGCCCAGGGCAGTGCTACATGGCTGGGTGGGAGGGCTGCAAGGAAAGGGAGGAAGAAGGGATTACACCTGCCTTTCCTTCGCACAAGCTGCTTGTGAAGGCACAGCCTTGGTTTGCATGGTGCAGCCTGTCTTCTTGCTGAAACCCAGTTCTAAGAACTGTTAATTCTACTCTAACAGAACTGGTACTGACGAGAACAGGTAAACCAAGCAAATAATTCAAATCAAGGCAAAATTTGTCCTCTTAAAAAAAGTAGTATCGATTTAGACTAGTGAATTTAGAGGTCTACATTTTTAACCACTACCACAAATAAAAGCAGCTCTTGCAGCAGTGCATGGCGCCTTGCACATTTTCTTTCTTGATTCCTGCAAAGATTTTTTTTTTTTTTTTTAAAAAAACCGAGTCCCCAAAGCCATGGGGGAAAAAAAAAAAAAAAAAAGTGTGACAAAAAATGCAAACCTAAGATTTAATGCCATGTTACACTTTCCATTTTAAAGCCTGATTAAATTTGGTAATATAAATCCCTTTGATTTAAGTCAATCCTCCCTGTTACTGCAATAAAAATGTATAATCCTGTTATCAGCGTGGGAATTTCTCACCTGCATATGAAATACTAAGGAGCTTGCTGCGTTCCAATGGAGGAGCCCAAGACGACCACATCGAATGCATAGCAGGAAAGGTAACACCCTGGAAAGCAAAAATTTGTTCTGTTGGAGGGAAAGTTTTAAATCTCCCCTCAAATCCCCCAAATTTAAAGCATATTGATTCATTAAGAACAGCAGTGCAATCTGTTGGCTTCTTTAGGAAGAGGCTAATTGATGAAAAGCATTCACAGTGTGAGGATAATTAGTCAAAATTAGTTTCTCTCCTGCTTTTGATATTGTTCCTTATTTCTCATAAATGAGAAAATGAATAATTGTAGTTGGGTTTTGTAGGTGTTCTTGCAAACAATTTTATTTTCTCATTCAGAAACTTAGATCAAAAATTGGTTAACCTTTTTCTTTTCCTTGAATAGTTTAAGAGTAAAATTAAGCTACTTGCAATGAAAAAATCCACATGCTTCAAAAAGCCTAATGACTCCCACAAAACCCAACCACTCCAACTTATTAAAAAGTTATTCAGATACATTGTCAGATTATAAAGAGAAAAAGGATTACCTCTCCCAGTCCTTCCAAGGCTCTGACAGCTATGAGATAGCCAACTCCCAGATTTGCTGCTAAGGGAGTAAGCAAGGTGAATACAGAGGTACCAAAGATGCCAAAGCCCAACAACAGCTTCCCTCCAATTCTGCTTGCGAGATATCCACCTGGAATCTGAGTAATGATATAGCCATAGAAAAAAGAACCAAGGATCCATCCCTGAGTATCAGCATCCCAAGAATATTTTTTCCCCTAAAAAGAGAAAACAAAATCTGAGATGCAGTAGGGTCAAAACAGCAGTTTCTCTGGCCATATTAAATATGAATTTAATCCATCACTTAGTCTTTTATGGCTGAATTATAAATCTTTCAGGGGGTCCTCCCTAGTATCTAGTCAAAGTCATACTAACTGCTGGCATGTGTCTACCTGAGCACAAATCCCACATGTGTATCACAGCGTAGACATTCTGTTTAACATTAAAGAAAGGAGACAGAATGGCTCTCTAGAAAATGCCTTTCCCTATACAAAACTTACTGGAGAGAAGAATCAAGCAGAGAGATGGAGATGTTTCAATTAGATAAAAACAGAGCAGCCAAGGAAGAATTCATAAGGATAGGTCAAAGATGACAACAAGTATGACACGGAAAAATGAGCCTGGTGGACAAGCAGTTAAAAGCAAAGATTAACGAGATACAAAGTCTGAAGCTATACAGGAAATGACTAAGACGACACCAGCTGCTTCCCAAGAAATTCATTTTAAAGAATGGGATCACTTCCAAAGATGTTATTTATGAGCATCTAATGCACATACATTTCAAGTAAGTGATGAGATGATCTTCTTCCATATTTACAATTATAGTGTAATAATGATAAATAATAAATGACCTCTAAACAGAGGAAATAAAGGCAGGAAGAGGGTGAAGAGGTATCAGTAATAAACTAAAAAAAAAAAAAAAAGTCATAAGGAAAAAAAAGCATATTTTTGCATTCAACATAGTCCTGTCCAGTTAGGGAATGGGATTTTAAGGTTACAGGAAGGGATACCAGGAGACAAAGGATATAAGACAAAAACCATCATATGGGAAAGTGAGTAAAGCACTAAGAAGATATTATATGTTAGGCAATGTATAATGTAATTTCATGCCATCAAGACAGTATGAAAAACAGAGAGGCAGATAGAGGCGCTGATGTGAACTCTGACGCAGATATAACAGCAATAGTCAGTCACAGGCATAGAAAACAGTGAGTCATATTAGATTTATAAAGTCAGATTAGCCAATTTGTGAAGGATAGTAGGAAAAGGATGTACTTAAAACCAGGCAACTGTGAGCATAGCACTCCTAAAGCATGTAATCATTTAAAGCTATCATCCTCAGAATACCTCTGAAAGAACCAGTGCACATTCTGAAAAGGCTATCTAGTAAAGAGCAAGCAGCTCTCTTGCAACCTAAACACGAGTCATCAATCATAGTTTATGAAAAACGAGTTTAAAAGTCTTTCAGAAGAATATAAATGAGAGCTTACCGACGTATTGTGAGGAACATTAATAGTAGAGGAATGTTCTGGACACACATTCGAAGTTGCATTCTTTGCTAAACTTGTGTTACGTTCTACCATATCCACTAGAGCAACACTGAGGTTCACTCGTAATGCATACAGGAGGAAGAATCCAAAAAAAGCCAGCAGTGCTAAGTTATAACGGGCTGAGCAGCATGTAGGCACTGAAATGAGAGTAAATAAAAAGTTAAATTTTGTTTAAACAAACAAAAAGAATCAGCAAAAAACGATTTTACTAGTTATTCCTGATATTTATGGGTAAGGAAAAATAGAATGAAGGGTTAATTGCTCTACTCTTAATGAAGGTATTCAGTAAAAACAGCTCCAGGGTGGTAAACATCTGTCCATTTTTCTACTGATGTTTGAAACATCAAAGTAATTCTGCTTTAGACTAGCAGAAGCTACAAACCTAAGTATAAGAGCTGCAGCGGAAACGCGATGCATGGTTTGTAGAAATGGGTTTAGAAACATGGTTTCTAAAATCCCCTTGTAAATACAATTGTAATTATTCATACCTGAATGCCACACTAAGAAAACGAGATGGGTGGGAAGCTTACTATATACTCAAAAGTGGTTCGAGATAGACAAATTCTTATAGCAGAGCTAAGGAACAACGGGTAAGATTCCATGCTGTTTTCCAGAACCATCTGCCCCCTAAGAGTTTGCTTATGAAGTAGGCTCTGTTTTCTAAAAGATGCCAAACAGAAAATCATCACACTACCAGAAAAGGGAATGGCAAACCCTGCTGTGGCACTGTGAACAGCTACCAGTTTCCCAGTTGCCATTCTGCCCCTCTGCTGCAACCACCACAACAATAAAGCCAAAGGAAAACCGGCCTTTGGCCTTCAGGACAAAGTGACTCAGCATTAAGCCAGCTCTGTCAGCTTTTTAAATCCAGATACCAGAGCCTATCTTATAGCACACAATTAGGGATCCCCTTCTCACATTCTGCACACAGCAAGCAGTGTTTGACGAGGCTTGTTCATCAGTGCCAGATCATGCTTGTTCGTCACTCAGATCAGTCAAATTGCACTCTGAACAGCATATCACCAGTCACAATAGGCAGGCTTTTCCCCAACTTTCTATGAACTAAGAAGAGATTACCCATGTTCTCAGGAAATGACAGGTGACATTACAAATCAGTTTTACAAAACAATGAAGGAAAGGGATCTAAATAATATATACAGGTAATCTCATGCCTCTTCTGCTCTCCAAGATATTCCTGCCCCTCTGGAGCCTGCCCATCCATGCCACATAGATCCATGGGGGTCCACACAATGACCTTCGCAGGGGCAGCTGTACTAGCGACTTAAGCCAGAGCCCTCTCTAACACTGAGGCTGTGCAATTATAACAGCATAGTCCATTTGGAAATGAGCATAAGCTTAAAAGCAAGTAGCCAGTTCTCTCTGTATTTTGCTAAATTTTTGTGGCTAAAAAATCAAAACTATAACACAGTAGAAGAACTGAAATTATAATTATGTGCCTAGCACAAGACAACAGAGAGTGCTAGAGGTAGAAGATCTGACTAGGTAGCTAAACTCAAACCTTCCTATTGCTTAAATACAAAACAAACAAACAAACAAACAAAAAATCCATGCACACATACATGGAAACACACATGCAAACACACCCAAGTCTTATTGATTCAAGAGAGATTGTTGTAGGCTTACAGGAAAAATAACATTGTTTTGTATGAAAAGAATCAAGAATCAGGTTTGAATATTTATTTGCATATTAAATATATATATATATATATATTTTCCTGCTAAAGCACAAATCCACAGAAGTATGGTTGCTAAATTGACACAAGCTACAACCATCTACAGGAGAAGATTAATGTGGGATGAGCACAACTAAAACCCTCACGATACGTTCAAAGCAATACCCAAAGAAATAAAGATAGCAGATAAACAGAGATTTAAAGAGAAACCTAAAGAATGTACTTCCTCAAAAACAACCATAATAGTAAGCAACTCTTAAATGACGCATCATACTAACATTGCAGACAACAGAGTTTGCCAATTTGTGGAATGCATCTCATATGGGAAAGAAAGAAGGGGGGTTGTCTTTCTGCAAGACTGTATTTTTCAAAAAGGTTGTAGACCTTGCAGCATAGGGAAGCCTTTGCTCTCCCTGATCAACTTTATCTGAAATTTATTATGGCTGCACACATTGCTAAAAGGAAACTTTTTTTTTTCATGTTTCTTTAGTAAGCGAGTAATATACTAACCATGCCTTCCAGACCTGTGATAACTATAAGTCTTTGTAAATGCTGCAGACATTTGATTTTTCAAATGAAGTCAAGGGCAGCAGCCAAGCTTTTATTACTTTAAAAACAACAGACACCAAGAACAGAAAGTTCCTCCTGCACAAAAACCAGTCAAACTGCTTCACTGCCTATTATTGTTGTTTGACTACACATTTTCTGCTTGTGACAAATTGCTTTTTAGCTATAGCTGCAGGTAAATCCTTTCACTGCTTGTAGCTAAATTTGCTGGGGTTGAACAGGCAATAATAACAGAAGGTTGGAATATCATGCTATTTCCACTTCCTTGGAATGGCAGATGAACTGGAGTTATTCTTCCCTTGGAAACTCTTACTGGTGTATGACTTGTCTGGAAAGCAGCTCCACAAGAGAAAAACGCAAAAACTCACAATCACATATGCCATTCTTTTCAATTGTAAATAGCTTGGCATAAAAATCAGACTAACACATAGATGTGAATTCTGAAATAAATTGCTGCTATATTATTGCCTTGTTATCTTTTCACCAAGTGTATCTGCCAATAGTGGAGAATATTAGATCCAGTCAGCAAAAGAAAAGAAAATTCAAGAAGATTCCAGATGTATTTCAGTTACCCGACTTCTGTGGAGATGAGATAGCAGTGACAAAGTGACAGGCATTTTTGCTCTAAAGGTAAAGGTAACCATGATATTCAAGCCCTTACCTTGATCGGTAGTCTTGGGTCCTACATCTCTAGTTAACACACATTTCAGAAGCATGTTTTACAACACTGGAGCTAAAACTCAACAGGATCTCTACTTCCAATAAAAACAAATAAACCTGCATGGAGAGCTGCAATGCGGTTAAAAGAAGTCTCTCTTCTGTTGTGTTTTACCTTGTGGGCGAGGTGAATTACTTCAACTAGGACATGACGCATTATGTAAACTGAATAAACTATAGATTTAATAACCGACTTGAACTCAAAATCCACTCTAGGAAGAGCAGTCCCTAGGGTTGCAGTTATTGCTAACTACATGAGAGTATTTTTGTGTAGCAGAGTGGGAGACTTAAAATCTTGTTTTTAAATTTTGTCTATGCCAAAAAACCAAATAGCACAGACAACACTCTGAATAAGCAAGATCTGCTGTTAAGGGTTTAGATCCCTTAATGATTACCTTTTCCTATAGTTATATGAACGCCTTCCTCTAGCTTTCTTCTTCACTGTACGTCTACAAGAAGCAAACTGCCTGACTCAAATTCTCTCTTAAGATGAGGCTCTACTATAACCTTGGCGGAGCCTAAGGGGTTGCTAACAGCTGGGCTAATAGCGTTTAGGTGGAAACGCCCCGGTGCCCCCAGCGCGGAAAGCCGGGCGGGCGGCGCGGGCGCTGCCGCAGCGCGGGGCCAGGACGCCGGCCCCAAGGGGACCCGCCCGGGCAGGCTGTGAAAGCGCCGGGGCCCACGGGCCGCGCCAGCCCCATGGCAACGCGACGCCGCCGCGCTCCCCGTCCCTCGCCGTGCCTCTCTCACCCGTGTCCGTGCCGCTGCTGGTGAC